TGCATGAGTCGTGTCTATTCGCAAATGTTGTTGTTACGAAAAACATCCTCGCAGCTGGTTCCGGGATTCAAACCACCATTAAAACAAAACAATGGGGCTCAAAAAACCACCATTGTTTACCTAATTATAACCTTTCTTTAAATGGGGGTTGAACCCCAAGGGGGAAGTGTTCCAAGATCTGCCCAGTGTTGTCACTAGCTATTCACCAAAGGATCCTGTACCCAAAGGTTCTGAACCGAGACATGACAACCCTTGACACGCCGATGTTTCTTCCTTGAAACCAGTTGCAGCTTTTTGCTTTTCGCCCTTCCAAGTGATCTTTCCATCCTCAAAGGGTTACACTTGGACAACCTGCATGTCTCACTTAAAACCCCCCTACTTGATTGAAGGGGGGGGTCTCCTATATTAGACGGGATCCTTTCTTATCTTTGGGGCAACCTTTCCTATGCATCCACAAAGTTGACTCCTTCACGATCAACATTGGTTCCTGGAATCCGCCACAAGGCCGCTATCTGACTGATCAACCAGGGGTTTCATTCGGGGTTCCCATTACCCTATGACATCATTCTGGAGGAGACCATTCGGCTCAACGATATCATAGGCCAGAGTAGAACTTCCAACGAACGCAATATATTCAAGTCAAAAGGCAGAACTAAAACAGGTCTTGCTACGCCTTTGTCTCATTGTGTCTCTTCACACCGCTGGTGTCATCCCCACTTGCCCAACAAACGAGTACAGTGCTGAGACACCCAACAAGTCGATTCGCCGGTCCGGAAAGCTACCAACATGCCCTGGTTCCTGCAACATATTCAACAACAACATGTGGCCATGGGCTTTCAGGTGTTGCTTCCAACTGGGTATGGGAGCAACAACAACTCTAGTTTTTACTTGCTAGCTAACATTTGATGAGAACTTCCAAGCTCAGAAAACCCAAATACACATGCCAACAGTGAAGTTGTTTTGCACCCAAAGATGGCTGAGATTTATTGCGAACGCTTTGGTTAAATTGGTGAGTTGGTTCCAGCGGTAGGGGGGGATCCAGGCACACAGGGAACGGATCAAAGGACCCGGGTTTGTCAACGTCACCTTTTCACGCCTGGCGCAAGCCCATAAAGTAAACCCCAAGCCACATCCCTGAAACCCACGAACATTTCCAAAGGCCGAAATTTTGGCCGCATCTGGCTCTGTCCTCTGGCAGTTAAATGAAACAAACATCCAAAGGATCTTCGAGCTTCTTCCGGATTCCCCAACTAGGTCCTCCAGTAGAGAAGTAAACTAAGGGTACCACTGTTTTAAGCAGGGGAACCCTCCCCACAAAACTACTGGGGGACCTGGCCAATGCTATCAAAATAATAATAATGAAACACACAATTTGGACCGCTCTTCTTGATTCAATGCTGTCTCAGATTGATCCCGCAACGCGTGTGTGTATTGGTGCGGGGTTCGGGGATGCCTCGTGGTTTCCAGGTTCCCCAAATCAAACCGTTTCACATGAGTTCCCTTGGAACTGTATGGTTTGTATGGTTGAACAACCCTGCTCCCCCCCCCCAACCCAATACATCATACACCAGAAACCAAGGGAGCCACCCAACAAAAAGGGACCCAAGACATAGGTGAGCTCGTTCATTCATGGCCCCCCGACTCTTGGTCGGCTCGTGTTTTGCGGTTCCCGAGCGTCCAGGCCAGGCCCTTGCGTGTGGCCGTGTGGCTCACCGCATCTTGGAGCGTGGTGATGGCCTGGGTCTTCTTCGACGGCACACGGTCGACGTCTTCGAAACTGGAGGGGGGGAGGAAGGGCCTGAAGCGGAAATGGAGCCCTGGTTGAAATGGAAAAAGTTCAACCCCACTGACCCCAGTTTCACCCAGAGGAAACTTCTTTTTGGGAATCGAACCCCCAAGTATGGGGGGGGGTCCCCCGTTGATTTGTAGGGAAGCTATTAAACTGGGGCCATTCTCGGTTGAAACGGAACCAGAAAAAACCTGAAGCAAACATGGAACCAACAACTGTGGTTGAAATGGAACCCACGAATGTGTAGAACAGAAAGGGCCGTTCAACCCCAAAGACTAGCCCCCCCGGTAAAGATTCCCGAAGATATCATAGAAGTGGGGCAATGCTGGCCTGAAGGAGAATGGTCCCAGATTTGTTTCTTCCCTACAAATCAACGGGGGAACCCCCGACCCATGTTTGGGGGTTCGATTCCCAAAAAGGGGGTCGCTGGGGTTGAACTTAGCCGCCTTGTGATTTTGTCCGGGTAAGTCGGTTGAACAAAGTGAGACACGAATCCTTCGCTCGACCTTCTAAAGTTCAGTCAGCAAACAAATGTTGGTCTATTCATCCTGGCAGCTTATACTAGGTTTTGGCCACCCATCCCGGGCCCTGGCTTCCATCTATCCATCCATCCATCCATCCATCCATCCACCCATCGATTTCCGCCAAACTGGTGGCTTCAATTGAAACGAACGAAGCCAACCTTGGGGAGAATCCAAAAAATGAAATGGCTCGAAACCAAACACAAAAGCTGCAAAAAACCTCCGCACCGCCCAAAAAGAGCCGGACCTGGCCGGTCTCAAAACGGCTGGACGGTTCAAATCTCAGCGACCTAAGCAGCTAAGATTCAAGACCTACTTCCAAAATCCCCCTAAAAGTCTAACCTTTAGTGCTTTAGTAAAAAAAAACACCCACCTTTCACCAATCCCAAAAAACATATCTAAAGCCACCTTTGGCACCGAATGAAGTCCTTCACTCGAACCCAGAAACCGAGAAACCGAGGCCATCCCACCGCAGCCGTTTTTTTCTTTCTTCGCCTCTTTTCCCCGCACAGCATACCGCCGCTCGACGAAGACCTGGCGTAAAAAGAAGCTCGGCGAAGTCCTCGAGACTTGTTAGAGGTTCCAATCAGTTGGTTTGCTGTGCTTGTTCTTCCATTTTCATGGGGGCTTGGGGGGAGGGAGGGGGGGGGAGGAGCCCAAATAAGCCCATATTAAGTCCTTAATAAGCCCTTATTTAGGGCTTATTTGGGCTCCCTCCCCCTCCCCTCCCACCCCCCCAGCCCCCATGACATTTAGTTAAGTCCCCTGGGAAAAAGGCAGGTCCTCCAGATTTGAGAGGTTAGAATAAGGGTACCGTTGCTTTTTTTCCTGTAGGTCTTTGTAGTAGGGGAATCCTCCCAACCACAAAAGGGGAGAGAAGGGCACTACTGGGGGACCTAGGCGGGTACCCTGGCTTGTTCTTCCATTTGCTTAGTGAAGTCCGGGGAAAATGCAAAGATAGTCATTTAAGCAAATGGAACTCAGAGGTTAGAATAAGTTGGTACCAACTTTCTTCTGTCTATTTTACCAAGGGGCACCTAGCTGGATATGCTAGGAACAAGAGCCTTAGCCTCCCAAGCGGATTGGGCGAGACCTTGAAGCATGGATCCACTAACAACTTGGGTGTGGTGGTTTTTTTCGGTGGGCCCCCTGTTGGTTGAGGGAAACCAAAGGGAAGCCACCAATGTTGGGGTCCTCTACAAACGACACACTCAGCTTGAATTTTGGCTTCCGGTAAGGGCTGCGTCTGGTCTTTACCGGAACCTCCAAAGTGAAACCAGTTGTACTGAGGAAAAAGAACAACAAGAAGGCATTCACAAGTGTAACCCAGAGATCCTTGGAGCAAATAACCATGTCCTAAGATGGCTGCGATATCCGTCGGTTGCATCCGATTTCCACGAAACCCAACCCTGCTATGTGCAAAGACTTCTGCTGTTGGCAAGGAACGGCTTCTGTTCACTGTGAGAATTGGTGGGAGGCTGGTTGTGGACAGCAACCTTTCCGGTGATACCAAAGTAGTATTCCCACCAATGACTAGCTTGCTTGTTCCAAGGCGATTCCCTTAGGTTCACGGAAAGTGGTTCTAAAACCCATTTTGCCACATTCTACCTGGCAAGGGCCTGTTCTGACTCGGCCCCAGGACTCTTTCTCCTGATTCTTGGTACTCGAACCTGGGAGAAAACGGGGCCAGATTTGCGGATCCCAGGTGGACTTGGTCCCGATGACTGTTGTCCCACAAGCCTCCTGGTTTAAAAGCCCCAGGGGTAAACCAAATGAAATCTCTGCCTATGGCGACCAACAGAAGGCAACATCTTGGGTCAACGTGTATAGGCATCTGCATTCTGTGGATAGACGAAATCCACAGAACGCACCACTTGGAATCCATGAGAAACCATGGTTGGTCGATATCCATGGGGGAATCATCATTTCGTCATTCCAGGATTTCTTGGGTGGTGCGAGTGGATTTCGCCCAGCCACACTATGTATGGTAGGGGAACCCGAAACTTGGCTTAAGAAACTACCCTAGTACAAGAGTACTAGCAAAACGTTTTTAGGGGGCCGACCCCAATATGGTGGTGATCCTCATGTGTTTTAACCACAACCGAAAGGGGTAACAACTCCAAAGAAGACACCCATTAGCGGAGTGACCAGCAGAAGCGAGCGCGCCACTGGACCCATTTTGTTTTTGTCTTCGAGCGCCTCTAAAAGCGCGCGAGCGCCTCGCGCTCGCTCGATGCTTGTGACAACTTTCCCGCTGCCCTCCAGGCAGTTTGGCCGTAGCCCAAAAAAGAGGTCCTTCAAGAGCTGGTTGCAGAAATGGCTGAGATCGATGGCAACTTGTGAGATGCTCGGGGCCTTCGAAGCGGATTGCAGTGACAAATGCCTTTCTGGGATGGTTTATATCAAGGGACTCTCAAGGGGAAAACACGATTTGAGGGGCCTGCATCATACATCTCTACTGTCTCTACTCTTGGTATGGTAGCGAAAAACTTGCTTTTTTTTGCAGACCTTTAGCAAAAATGAGCAGAACCAAAAAACAACAATAAAAAGACAAAGAACAAACAACACATGATCCAAGAGCAGTGAAGGGTTGGTTGGGATTTCCTCCGACGTCAAAGTGTTTCAGCCGTTCACCTGGGTTCATACATCCAGCCTTCGAGTCCTAAAAGCGGCATTGCCGTTGATCCTTCTTATGCCTTCAGCGAGAACCGGGTCTCGCCCTTCTCGAAGAAGCCCACAATCCTCGAGGATTTTTTTGGGCGTCCGGTTGCTCCGTTTGCTCTTGGGGGGTGTCCTTTTTCGGAGTTGGCGCCCGAATTGTTTTCGGTGGTCCAGGAAAACATCCTCAAGTCCATGCATGAACCGTTCTCCGGATTTTAAGAGGCTTCCGGGTACAGCCAGTTGCCACATTTCCATTTCTGTAAGTCCCATGGCAAAATGAGAAAAGTCTAATCTGTAATTTTTCGTATGGGTGTGTCCTGTTTTGGAGTTACCCCTTGTTTGGTGGTTTTGCAAGGAACACCACAAGGGAGGCCACAATTTTGGGGTCCTCGTAAAAAAAAAAAAAAAAAAACAAAAAAAAAAACACCCATATTCTTCCATGTCATGTCATGTCCTTTCGTCCCATGAAAATGAGAACATTTCTCCAGTAGCTCCAAATCCACCCAAACATGCCCCAAAGAGGTCACTGCAGAGAATGGAAGTACTTGGAGTCCACTTGCTTTGATTGGCAGGGTCTTGGCAGGGTCCGGACCCAAGTTTTTGATGGATTCTCCTTCCCGAACTTCCCGAAAGCTCCAACACTTCCGTGAAGACGGCTTGGAGGTGGCGAATCACCTGTGGGATATGAAAAGAGTACTAACATACTGTGGATGGACGAAATCCTGCACCACTTTGAGTGCATGCAAAGCCAGGGGAGCTAATTCTGGGGAAGAAAATAGCCGCGCCTCCTGAAACTGATCTGCAATCAAGGCGGTTTCAGGGGAAAACCGTCTTAGGGGAAACCACCCAAAGCGGAACCGCCCAGCATATTCCGTGAACCAAATGACCATGGGTAACTTTTTTCCCATGTGGTTGAAATATCATCTGATACGTGCTTTCTTCAATGCTCATCCCATGTAAAGGACCGTTTGATCAACCCCCATATAGCAGAAGGACAAGGTGGCTCTGATGACGTGTCCCTTCCTCCCAAAAAGGAAGGGAAATTCCTACGTTTTGGCGTAAACTCGCACTTATGAGTTTTGTTGACCTTCTTTCGAAAAGCTTCCGCAGGTGTTTGGTGATGCAGTGCGATTGGTCCAAGAGGACGCCTGGAGCTTTTCCCCGTGCCCTTTAGTTTTCCTGGTGGTTTCCCTTTGAAGCCAACCCTAAAAAGGGTTCCTGAAAAACAGACGCACCCGCTTCAACTTGTTTGGGGGAATTGGGCACCTATGGGACCCCCAAGGAAAGGTTCCTTCTTGAAGCGATCCGGATCAACGGGGCGATCAGACACCTTTCTTGGGCGTAGCGAGGGCCGAGGGCATTTTCTCGCTCTCGCCTTGTGAGCCTTTCGCTGTACCTGTAGAACTATTCTCTTTACTTGGCCTTTCAAAAAGGAAAGATGTGAAAACCCCTCGACAAGGTGGGACACGGTGGCATTTGCGTACGAGAGGGGCTTGTTATGAGCCACGGCCAGGTCCTTCCAGGAGCTGCACCACCATTGACCAAATGAATGCGCCGCAAGAAAGGCATGCACATCAGGACATGATTGAGCAAATTAATGCGCCCGCAAAAAATGAAAATGCAGCCAGTCTTTGGGGATGGCTTCCTTTCTTGTGCAACGGAAGTAATACTGCTCGCTTCCCCGAAGAGCGACCCGCCGGCCTCTGGTGTGCTCGGTACCTCTTCTTGGTGGGTTTAAAGGACAACCACAAGGAAAACCAAGAATTTAGGGTGTCCCACCTAAAAAAGGAAAGGCCAACTATTGAGCTTTCAATGGAAACCACCTAACAAGTGGTTGCTTGTGAGGTGTTGGACCTGAATCCCCAAATGATGTCCGCCAAGCTTCCGTTTGCTTTTTTGCACCGTGGAAAAAAGAGAAACATGTCCAGTAAGTCCAATAGGAAGTAATTCCCCTCAAATCCCACCATGTGAAAAAAACAACATACTAATTTCAGCAAATGGAAGCTAAACAAGCTTCAGAGTGGGTTCGTCACATTTCCTTGGAGAGTAGGGCACCCGCTTTTCTGGGATCACCCCCCCTAGGGGATTCCCTCAAAGGGCCTAAAGGACGAGGCATGGCATTTCGAATCAACATCCATGGCTCTGATTGGCTGCCGCCACGCCGGCATTGTCGTTGGCCTCTGCCGTCTGCGCCCCCATCTTCCTGACTCCGACCAGAAGGCGCTCGGCTTGGCGGGTTGGAGCCCGGTTTGGTGTTCACGGGTGGCTCAAAGAACCAGGGCTTCAAATGCAAATCCAAACCACCAACTAGCAGCATGAATACATGTTGCCACCGGTGGCTACGGTGGAGGCCTCTACTTTTGGCCATTTTGGCAGTATCCCAACCACACGGAAACCCCACAAGCTCATGAAAAGTAGACGGTAAATTAGAGGCTTCCCGGAGTTTCGACCAGTCTTTTCAGGACACCCGCCTTGTTGCTGGTTCCAAGGAAACAAGTCATGGGCTACCAACAAGTGGCAAAAGAAAATAGCAACCAAGCAAAGGCGAAACGTAAAAAAATAAAGAAACTAGGTCCTCCAGTAGAGAGGGGAGCCCTCCAAAAAAAAAGGGTAAAAGGGAACTGGGGGACCTAGCAAATACAAGCAACTAGCAGCTGTGAAACAAGCAACGCAACCTTTAGGCTAAGTCCGGCCATGCGGCTTCTTGGTGAAGATGAGGCGCTTGCCGAACTTGTCCCCCACCGCAGCCTGGGGAGCTCAATGTCACCCTGAACCTCAAAAGACCGGGGTTTCTGGGAAGCCAACAAGACATTCCTCTAATGACGGGCTTTTGTTGGGGTCCTTAAACGACACCTCTGACTCAGACTTAATCACTGCTTCTCCACATTTCCAACTCGCAAGTGATGCCCAAAAAGCAGTAATTGGGATGTGCTGGTAAGAATTGTGGGTTTCGTTGGTTCCTTCCACGCCATTTTGCAGCGTGTCTTCGAGCCCTTGAGAGGCATACGTTGGCCAGACGTGGGCCTGCAAAAGGCGCAAGCTTCTTCTTTCCAATCCTTGGCATGTTCTTTTTGTTTTCCGCACCTACTAAAAATGAACAAAACAAAAACCTACAAACCTACCAATGCCATCAACAGTGAAGTCAAGTTATGGCTACTTAATTAAGCGAGAACATAAAGGAAGCCGGCAGGGATTTGAGTTAGATCTGGCAATGTCCTCACTAAAGCAAGAAGAACCTCCTACAACGGCCAACAAGTTACTCCGACAGATGAACGAGCGAAGACAAGTGATTCAATTAAACTTAACATCAACAATTGGTTGGTGTGTGTGTGTGTGTGCCAGAGATTTCCTGGCGCTTGTCTTTCTATTTCTATTTGACTTTATTTCTATCTCAGCCTGGTCCGTTTGACTGGCGAAAAACTCGATGCAAGCATGTCGCTTCGCCGGCTCTCGAAGGAACTGATTCGCGCCTTGAAGGGCTCGATGTCTTTGGGCGCCACGTCGCAAAGGTAGCAGAAGTCTTGCCTGGCAAGACGGCCATAAGGGGCCAGTGGATTCTTTGGGAAAATGGGAAACGCAGTGTTCCAACCTAGGGGGTCTTTTACAGGGTCGAAAAAGGATGACCCTGTTCTAAATGCCTGTTACGTATTCGGACAGGATGTCTTCACCCGGGGCATGTTGCTCCCTTTTGAACGAGGGTTTCCAAGCAGGCACTCGACCTGAACACATACTCATCGAAAGAAGGTAGCCCAGTACGGGATCTTGTCCAATTGAAAGTGTTGGGGTCAAAAGGTCCAACAGCTACTCCCTGAAAGCTATCAACAAAAGGTACCCCGTAACCCTGCACCAATTCATGTTTTCCACTCACTGGCACTCCAAAACAAAGGGCCATCATCTTGCAAGTTGCCCAGGGTCACCCTGGTAGAACAGAATATGGAACCCTTTTTTGAGATGATGACCTTTCATAGGGTGACTGCCGAGGTACCTATGAACAACAAACGCTATCTTTCAAAGGCTAAACATATGAAGCACTAGAACATCTCTTGATGTGCGCACGTAGTGTTATTTGCTATCTAACCATGCCGTGAGCGAAATCCATTTCGCACCGCCGTTCAGAAACTCTGGAATGATGCGATTCTCCTGTAAATACCAACCAACAATGGTTTCACCCAGGGTTTCCAAGTGGTGCGAAATAGACTTCGCAACCATCCACAGATCTGCAAAGTTTTCAATTCCAGGATTCCAGAAACAGAAGAAGGACTCCCACGGTAAAGGATCTACATCATAATGACCTGGTCTTAAGCCTCCGATTGGTGAGCGCAAAGCCCAATAGGCAGATACAACCAGCCTTTGAATCTTCCGCCTTCTCCCACTGGGTCTTGCATTTTGTTCTCAAAATTACTGTGGTTTTTTGGGTGGTTTCACTTTAATCCACCAGACAAGAGGGTAAAGTGTGCAAACTCAGCTGGCAGGTACTCAAGAGGTACCCTCCCTCCCACTGACATAGCACCTTTGGAGGTGCTCCTTAATAGCTTCCCAGCGGTTCAAATCCGCAAACTCCCAATCCAAACCACCAAGTAAGGCTTCCATTTGCTTTTTCGTGCGCTGGAAAAAATGGGAAACTATTTCCAGTAGCGAATCGATTCCCTTTAAAACCAGCAAGGGAAATACAACACTTCATTTCAGCACATGGAAGAAAGGTTACCTGATTCAAGACTGGGTTGCTGTTGACCCCCCTGCACAAAGTTTCTCACTTATTGGGGGGTTTAGTACGGAAAACGCCACTTGATTTCCACCAACAAGCTAAAGTCTAACCGTTGCTCAATAGCAGTCAAGGAAGGGTACCCAAAACAACATAACCCCTCATGCACCCTCAAACTTGCAAGCAAAAGGCATTTGGAGCTTGTCTGGAGTACCACCTCAAGAAGAGGGCCCTCTGAGGATGTGAACGACGGTCGCCTGGTCTTCAAAATGTCGAGCATGTCCTGCTCGTGCACCACCTCCACCCGAGCGGTGTTGATCAAGGTGCCGCCCTTCGGCATCTTCGACAAAAGATCCTGGCGCGCACGTGCCAGAAAACTCACTTGCCCAAGGGACCCAGAAATAGAAGGTTAACCTTTGGGCACCTCTACTAAACATGGACCTGAGAAAATAAACCAACACTTTTCTGGGCTGCCCGTTTTCTGATCCCCCGCTAAAAGTGACTAACTGTTAGTGGGTTGAATGGAAACTGCCACTAAACACTAGAAGGCTAAGAAGCTAAGGAACCGGATGGCTGGGAGCCACCAAGTTTTTGGAAAGGTGACTAAAACGTTCCAAACCCAAGTGACAAAAGTTCATGAACTCAAGGAGTGAGACAAAGGGGACCCCTGGGTGTGAAGCCCTCACGATACATTCGGAAATGGCGACGTGCGGCCGCGGGTCGCCTGGGTACATGATACAATGAGATTGTGCGGCATATATGTTCCAGGTGGTAGGCCCCCCACTCCACCACCCATGGTCATTGTACCATCGTACCCCGCTCCCCAATACTGCAGCGGCTGGTTAAGGGTTGGTTAGTTTATCTTGGATGGATTTTAGCAAATGGGCTCCAGCATGCTGTGTCGTTTGAAGGTACCCTTGTTGAGGTTGGTTACTTTTCCAACCGTTGGTATGGTAGCAAAGAACTTTCTTTCTTGCAGCCCCTACTAAAATGAACAGAACCAAACATCCAAAACTGAAACAACATGCTCCAACAACAGCGACGCCTAAACTGGCCAAAGTCCCAAAAGAAACTCAGGGACTCAGGAAAGTGGGCCTCCAATATATTGCTTGTTCCAAATGACCATTCGAGCAAGAAGTGTCTCCCAGGTTCGTGGCGAGGAAACAAAACGACACAAACAGTCTCCCGGATGCGAGGTTCGGGAAAAAAAAACAAAAAACACAGACACAGACGCAACCTGAACCCCGCCTTGTTGATGGATGCCTTGGTCTCGTCCGTCAGAGGCACGTGCAGCGAAACATACCTCAGTTGTTCCGTGACCCTGGAGAAAAAACAGGGAACCCTTTTTGGAGAAAACCATTTTAGTAACCATTTTTAGTGGGGCAGCCACACAAAAAAGGGAAAAATCATTGGTGCCACTGAACAACTGAGATACTGATGCTCGAAGAGCCCTGCCACAGTGGCCACCGGCTCAGCGCCCATCTCCTAGGTGTCGTCCGTCCGTGTGACGTTTTACCCGCCACTTGGGTGGGGCTACTTTTAGGGGAACTCCCCTCGCCGAAAAAAAGAAAAAAACTCAGGGGAAGCCGAAGCCCCCCTCTTCTGGGTTCCCGCAAAACCACCAAACAAAGATACCTTCAAAAAGAACGATCTACCCATATTGTTCCATATCTGCGGGTTTTGCTCATGACTTAGTGGGAAGCCCGGACTCATAAGCGCTTTTTGCTTTTCGGGGATGCTTTGCTTTGGCGGGGTTCAGACCGCTTTTGGAGGGGAAGACACGCCGATCAATGGTAAGAACCCCCCCTTGCCAACGGCTCGGAAACCGAAATATACCCGTAGTTTGCCCCGGTTTTGTGGCTCAACCCCTGATTTCGTTTGATTTACCGCTCGTTTTGTGGTTGAAAACCACAAATCTGCTGTTATTTACGCTTTTTCGGGCTTGAACCTCCCAAAGTCAAAGCAAACGCAACCGCGCCTTGATCTTCTCAGCGGGGATGTAGGGATCGTACGCGAAGCCTCGGCTTCGGATGTGCCGAGTTTCCCCACACCGGAAACGGAACAACTTGCTGGTGCGAAAAACGGTAGGGATTGAGGGAATGAACCTGGAAAACCCCTTAAAGGAAACCACCAGTTGGATGGTTTATAGGGGTCATTCCTTCATTCCCTGAGACCAGCAAGAAAATACACAGCTACACCCCTCTTGAAATTGAAGGGACGTTTCCAGGTATGAGTTTTGGAGAGGCTGTCCACAAATGTTCACGCTGCGTTAGAAGCTTATATTGGTGGTAGGGTATACAAGCATCCGTATTTCAAAAACCATACCTGGACATGACGTGGCCTTGATTGATGGCGTGTAGAGGGATGACTAGGCCAACATGGGCGAACTGTGCCACGGTCTTTCACCAAGCTGTGAATATGATAGATATAGAACAGGTTAAACAACCGGGAAGGGTCACCAATGAACCCTGTCCACAGCGCGCTTTTTCTTGAGCCATACGCAGTCGTAATGATGAGACTGCGCAAGTGAGACATTCATGCATTGGGGTTTTACATGGTTGATAAATACATCGCGTTGCAAACTACACCCCCCGTGCCCGAATGTGAAACAGGAGGACAAATGAAAGGGATGAAACAACCAACGAAACCCGATCGGCATGAAGTCTTTTGCAGCACATAAGCACTTGGATTCGAGCAACCGGCCGTTAAGGTCTTCCGCCTCCACTGACCGTCGCTCTCGCGAGGCGTGCTCATGCCTGTACATTGATCCTCGGCCAACATGAATTGAGAAGTATGATGAATATTGAATTTGAAATGTAAATGGATGTCAGCCGAAGATTGAAAAGATTGTTGAAGAGATCGCTCATTCATCGCCAATCCCAATTGCGGGAGCTCTTCCACGGGCGCTGATCATCAGACCACCACGAGTCCCAGGATTGGCCCCAGCTTCCCCAGTACGACTGGCTCCATTGACGATCTTGCCATTGGCCACCGGTCTCCCGGAGCTGCGGAATGGGCTTGCGCGTCACACCGACAACTGCAGGGAGCGGAGTGGCCCGTCCAGGGATTTGGATGCCGGGGATCTCCTCTTCGACGAAGCAAAGCAACTCAACCAATACCATTTCGGGGTCTCCCACCGACGAGAAATCCCGAGTCCAGCCCATCACGGGGTAGCGGTTGCTCTTGTCAAGGCTTCCATACAACGCGGCAAATTGTTCTGGTTCCAAAAATCTGCCACCATGCACCACATACACGTCTTTCGGATCAACCTCCTGCACGTCCTCGGTTGGCGGCACCAGCGTTAGCCGTGCGTGATATTTCGGCACAGCAACGCTTCCTTGGATCATTTCCTTCGTTCTTTCGAAACTCGGAATATTGCATCGTGCCACCTTCTCGATAAACTCGAGGGCGGACGGCGTCAGGTCTCCCCGCGCGGCAGTGTAGGCGTAGAAGGGGTCGTTGATCAGCCTCTCGTACAACGTGGTGTACTCCTTGTTGCGAAGAACTGCTTTCTTGGCGATGTCCTTCATGATCCCGAGGCCCCCTCTTGCGCTTCGATCCCCTCGCGCATCCTTCCGCTGCGTCAAGATCTGAGTCTCAACCTGGTCCATGGAAAGCGGCACGCCCAAGCTGTTGGCCATCTCTTGCAATCGGACGACCCTTGCCATCTTCTTGATATCGGGCATGCGCTCCATGAGATGGTCACACTGGTAACAGTTGATGGTGCTGACCGGGATGAGGATCTTGCAGCGCGGGCACTCAACGTCGGGGATGTGCATGACCTCCGCGAAGCGCCAATTGGTCGACTTCTGCCTGTTGGGGTCCAGGTCCTGCCACAAACCACTCCGGCCACGGGTTTTCTCGGGCTGCTGTTTCACAGCTCGAGCCCAGTTCCGGTAGAGGCCATAACGAGCGGTCTCGAATTCGAGGGCGACCTGCTCCTCTTTCGGGAGGTTCTCGTCGTAAACGTCCCTGACCTTCGTCACATTCCCAATTCGGTGAGGCCTCATCATGTCGCGGCACGCGGTCGGGGCCCACTGCTTGTAATAGAGCTTGCACTCCTTGTCGGCCTTCGCCATGAACGACTCCAGCACTGGGGTCCCGACAACGCCCTTCTGAGTTTCCTCCCGATACTTCTTGATACTGTCTTGGTAATTTCGTCTGACGCTGACATACATGCGATTGGACCAGATGAACTTCGCACACTCTGCGTCGTAGGCGTAAATGAGGACCTTGTTCGTGATCCAATCCTCGGTCACCAGGGCTTCCCCGTCTCCGGGTGCGTACAGACGACAGCCCAATTGGATCAACATCTCCACATCGACGGCGATGTTGATGGGTCGGTCAGCCCGCGCGCCCCCCGCCTTCCGGCCGTGCCTGTCCCAAGGAGGCACTACCGTTAGGTAGGCGTGACCACGCGAGGACTGCCGGTCGCCCATTTCACGAGGGAAGATGCCCATGTAGATGATGTCAAAGAAATTCTGCATGTTGCACGTGTGGTAGGCGATTTTGGGCAGCGCCTTTCGGCGTGCGTCCGAGAAGTCTTTGCAGAAGCCCGGTCGCACTCCCTTCTTTGCGTGCTCAATGGTGTAGTTGACATCCATCGCAATGGGATCTCCAGGAATATTGTCAAAGCCGCTGGCCTCGGTCACCCAATCGTTGTGGCCGGTGAACGCGCGAATGCGTAGCGGCATGAAACTGAGCCCGTTCCATTGCTGCCCGGCCGGCGCGTACTCGACATAGACCTCGAACCGGTTCGAAGTGCTCGTGGCCTGAAGAAGAGTATATTGGGTGCAGTTCCAGTCATATCGACGTTGGATCCACTTGGCGACGGCTGCGTAGTCGAAGGAGTTGTCCTTAAGATTGATCTCAGGGATGGATCGCGTCGCATGTTCGTGAGCGTGTCCGCGCCGCAAATACGACACCTTCTTGCTCAAGAACGTCCTTCTGCCATAGTTCTGGATCTGGGGAATCTTGATTCCTGAGCATTTGATCCACTCCCTCTTGGGTTCAGCAGCCTGGCCACGGGTCTCCCCGGGCTTTCCAGCAGCTTTGGGAACTGCCTTTGCCATGGGATGATCTCCGGGCCACGGATCTCTCCGGGCTGAGTCTTGCTGCTCCCAGCCACGGACGCCTGATCACTGGACGAGGCAGCCTGTTTTGGCATGGCTTTTGCCTTGACCTTCGGAGTCGCAGCACTGAGAGCTGCAGTCATCTTGTTGTGACTCTTCCGCTTTGAAGTGAGGATGAGCTTGATTTGGCCGTCCTCACCAATGTCATTCGGATCCACTGCGGCAACCTCAACGGCCTGGCCTTTCGGCCGGCTGACCTTAGGCTGAGAGCCAGGGGGCAGGTCGAAGCTGATCAGATCCTCCTCATCCGAAGAAGAAGACCAATCGATCACATCGTTGAGGCCGCTGACGGTCGCCGCGTGAATGTCAGGTTGCATCATCTGTAAGACCTTTGCTTCCTCCTTGACGGTGTCAAGGGGGTAGAGGGGGTTTGCCTCCTTTTCAGTCAGGAAGATCTCGCGCTTCGGCTCTTGCGCGGCGATTTCGTTGATCGCCTCCAACTCCCTCTCACGGACCTCATTGTCGAAAGGGTCCTCAGGGTTCTTTGCAATTGCCGGACCGCCAGTTTCCTGGGGTGTAGCGCCAACGATCGGGATGGACGTGTCAATGTTCAGGTACTCCCTCTCGAGGCGATACCAGTTCATGGCCATCTCAAAGCGATTGATCTGACCAATGCAGTGCCCGAGCTTGGCAGCAGCTACAAAATAACTAATGTAGTGCTTCCTGTTCCGCTCATTGTCATCGGTGTGAATGCGGTCAGCTCGAGACGTGTTGGAAATAAGAGTCTGAGGGTCTAGGACGGTGATGCCTGCGGAACCATGCAGCAATCGAGCGTGCCCGTCCATCTGAGTTTTGTAAGATTCACTCAGCCCATAGGTCTCGTAGTCTCTCGGCACGATGAGGACGACCTGGACGACATCATTTCTGAAAGCGATGTGGCGAAGTCGATCGCGAACTGTCATCACCGCTGATAGCCCTTTTCCCCACGTCATCTCAGACCACACCTCATGCTTGTGCCCGAAGAGAGTCCGCTTATTCTCCTTGATGATGGTGCCAACATCTGTCTTTGCTCCATCTTTGACCAACGCATTGAAGGAGTCACCGAAAAACAAATAGTTGACCGCGGGTTTCCCCGGGCAGAAGAGGATATCGAAAGCCTCAACCGGAGCCTCTTTGAGAGTTCCCGCAGTACCTGTCAATGATGACATGGCGTTCTTGACGAGAGCCAGCGCATCGGTACGTTCACTCATCTTGGCAAGGTCGACACCGGAGTTCACGTCCTTGACGATGAATGATTGAGTTGCCGCATCACGGAACATGTCTGACCAAGCCTCTCGGTTGGCGACGCGCAGCTCGTCGGGGATAACCTCGGCCTTCACCTTCCCATCGTGTAGGATGTAGTCCGAGCCGTAGTCAATCCGAGCAAGCGGCACATCTTTGTAGTGCCTCTCAGAGAATGCCGATCGTACCGTCTTCAAGGCCTTCTCAATAGGCAGTTCTTCAGCCATGGTCGCAACTAGTATACGTGTTTCAGCAACCTTCTCTTGAACCGACACTGCATAAGCAAAAGCCTTGTGAATCAAGTCAGTCATGATGTATGTATAGGATTCAGTATTTTTGAGATTCCGTCCCCTACCTTCAGCATGTCGGACAGTGCAAGAACATACTCTTCCATCAAGGTAATTGTGGAGGCAATGCATGTTGGTCTTAACAGTCCATGGTTTCTTCATAGGAATCCCATCGGTAGTTTTGACACCAACAGCACAACCATCAAACTTAACAGAAGTCATGTTGTTTCGGATAACGAACTTGTCAACGGCCTTGTCGTCCCAATAAGTGCAACTCCTGGGCCATTCAATAGCAATCAACGGTTTGGCAAATTCCATTGAGTTCACGAGGTCAACGAAGGCAGACCAAATTCTTTTGTAAATGGATCGATGTCGCTTC